CTAACACCCAGATACCCATTTTACACTGTTGGTAAACAGGGACAGGGACAGCAGGTGTCTTACGGAAACACATCCCTAACGTTTTCCAGCCATACCGGAGGAAATTCGAACCCTAGACCTTAGGTGTGGTTGAGTCGGGTTAGGTTACAGTGTATTAAGTTACACTGACTTCAAAAAATAAAGCGTCTATCCTGTTTGTCCAGAATATTACTTAAAAAAAAAAAAAAGAATTATATAATCTTATTTTACCTATTGATGCCAAAATGAAAAGTTTACACACTTCCTAAAAGAAAAAAAAAATACTATCAGATTTTCATTGAAGCTGGTGACATATTATGACTGCTAAATTCAAAAAATTCAAATTTATTTATTTTTTTGCAAGTAATACATTGTGGTTATGTATTTTGCAGTGCAAAAAGAGCCTCTATTATGCTTAGGCATTATGGGCTGACTTAATTTAATGCCTTACTGGCTACGTAACATTAAAGAAATGTATCATAGATGTACAATAGTTCTATTAGTTATAAATGAATCTAATTTATATCAACCAAAGGATATACAGTGGACCCCCGAGTTTCGTGATTAATCCATTCCAGAGAGCCTGCTGAAAGTCGAAATTGCCGAATGGCGAAACCATTTTCCCTACAAGAAATAATGGAAATAAAATTAATCTGTTCGAGACACCCAAAAATTATTATTATTATTATTATTATCATCACACTGGCCGATTCCCACCAAGGCAGGGTGGCCTGAAAAAGAAAAACTTTCACCATCATTCACTCCATCACTGTCTTGCCAGAAGGGTGCTTTACACTACAGTTTTTAAACTGCAACATTAACACCCCTCCTTCAGAGTGCAGGCACTGTACTTCCCATCTCCAGGACTCAAGTCCGGCCTGCCGGTTTCCCTGAATCCCCAAAGTAACATTTATGAAGGGATTCAGGGAAACCAGCAGGCCGGACTTGAGTCCTGGAGATGGGAAGTACAGTGCTTGCACTCTGAAGGAGGGGTGTTAATGTTGCAGTTTAAAAACTGTAGTGTAAAGCACCCTTCTGGCAAGACAGTGATGGAGTGAATGATGGTGAAAGTTTTTCTTTTTCGGGCCACCCTGCCTTGGTGGAATCGGCCAGTGTGATAATAATAATAATAATAATTTTTGGGTGTCTGGAACAGATTAATTTTATTTCCAATTTTTTTCAAATTAAATAAAGATTTACATACTGAAAAACAATGAGAAATCAAGTACATGCATATAAAAAATAATAATAACATTTCACTTACCTTTACTGAAGACTTCTGGGTGGATGGAAGACGGGAGGAGGGGATAGGAGGAAGGTGTACACTATTGTTTTGAAGGAGAATCTCCTTCCATTAGGACTTCAGGTATGAAGTCCTTATCTGGGGTTACTTCGCTTCTTTGTTTTTTAAAGACACTGGCAATGGGACCAACTTGAGAGTCACTGGAACCCTGTCGCACAAAATATCTGTCCAGAGAGCTCTGTTTCTGGCGTTTCTTGAAGATTTGTCTGAAGTGGGACACAACACTGTCATTGTACATGTTGCCAATACGGCCTGCAACAGCTTTGTTAGGGTGAAATTCATCCATAAATGTTTGCACTTCAGTCCACTTTGCACAAATGTCCTTAATCTTTGAAGAAGGCACCTTCCATCTCTCTTCCTCCTCCTCTGCAGCAGTTTCCTGAGCTGTGATCTGTTGCTGTTGCAGATGAAGCTCTTGCAGCTCTTCAGTGGTTAGCTCTTCCCTGTGGTCCTCCACTAACTCTTCCACATCCTCGCCACTCACCTCCAACCCCAGGGACATCCCCAATGCCACAATAGATTCCACAACTGGCATAGGCTCCTTAGGTCAGCCCCAAACCCTTCAAAATCCCTCTCTTCTACACATTCTGGCCACAATTTTCTCCAAGCAGAGTTCGAAGTCCTGGAAGTCACTCCCTCCCAAGACTTACCTATAGGGTTTATGCAATGGAGGATATTAAAGTGATCTTTCCAGAACTCTCTTAGGGTCAATTCTGTGTCTGAGGTCACTTCAAAGCACTTTTGAAACACTGCTTTTGTGTAGAGTTTTTTGAAGTTTGAAATGACCTGCTGGTCCATTGGCTGGAGGAGAGGAGTTGTATTACGGGGCAAGAACTTCACTGTGATGAATCTAAACTCCTCCACTATTTGCTCTTCGAAGTCTGGAGGATGAGCAGGAGCATTGTTCATTACCAGGAGGCACTTGAGTGACAGTTTATTTTCCAGGAGGTATTTCTTCACACTGGGGCCAAACACTTCATTAAACCAGTCTAGGAAAATATCCCTTGTGACCCATGCCTTACTGTTAGCCTTCCACATCACACACACATTACTCTTGGCGACACTGTTTTTCTTGAACACTTTGGGATTTTCAGAGTGATACACCAGTAAAGGCTTCACTTTAAAATCCCCACTAGCATTACTACAAAACATGAGAGTAAGCCTATCCTTCATAGGCTTGTGTCCTGGGAGTGCCGTTTCCTCCTGCGTGATGTAGGTCCTCTTTGGCATTTTCTTCCAAGAGAGGCCTGTTTCGTCACAAACACTTGTTGGGGTTTGAATTCTCCAGTGTCTACTCACTCCTTAAACTCCTGTACAAACTTCTCAGCTGCAACTTTGTCAGAACTGGCAGCCTCATCATGCCTTATCACACTGTGAATGCCACTACGCTTCTTAAATCTCTCAGACCAACCTTTGCTGGCCTTAAAATCACAAGCATCACCACTTGTTGCAGGCATTTTCTTTACGAGATCGTCATGCAACTACCTTGCCTTTTCACATATTATCGACTGCGTAACATTATCTCCTGCTAACTGTTTTTCGATAATCCACACCAACAGTAACCTCCCACTTCTTCGAGGATTTGTGATCTCCTTTTTGTCAGCATATCCACCCCTTTTGCAACAACAGCACACTTTATTTCCTTTCCTTTTGCCACGATCAAAGTGATGGTTGAATGGGGTTTGCCATACATCCTGGCAAGCTCTGTAACACGAACTCCACTCTCATATTTTTCATTGATTTTCTTCTTGAATTCGACCGTGTTCCTCACTTTCTTTACCAGAGGGCTTGCACTAGCTTTCCTTGGGCCCATGGTGACTTATTTAGCAGTTGCAATCACAAAAAACAATGGATTATTATGTATGAACCCGCGGGGTGATGGTCATGTGTTGGTAAACAATGGCACACTGAGCGTGAATGGCGTGAGAGACTGGCTTTGTGTGTGTGGTGACGGGCGGATGGGTACCGGACGTTCGCCGAATCACGAGTCTAATCCCGAACCGCGAGGCCAAATTTTGCCGAAAAAACTTGCCGAAAGTCAAATTTCACGAAAGTCAATGCTGCCGAAACTCGAGGGTCCACTGTATTCCTATTTTCAAAAATGCTTTTTATGAAGCATGATTCAGTTATATTCCTATTGACAATGGACAATAGATTCAAAAGTAATTATAGTAATTATATTATGGGAATATAACATTGTGGTTTGTTAAAAGTAGTTTACAGTATGAGAATGCTACAATTTGGTGTAGGGCAATACTGTTTTTGGGTGTATGTATGAACTTGGTCGTCTAGTCTTGAAGTTTTGGAAGCTATAATGTTTTTAGTACTGAAATGTACAAAATGTATGTCTTAATTTTATCCTGGGAGCTAAACTGATCTATGTGAGCTTCTGAGCAAAGTTTCTAGACCAAAGGTGTTTAATTATATCTGTTATTTAATACAGTGAATTCTTGTATGTGTGAATAACATTTCAGTTATGTAATTTGGAAAAGTAGCATTCAGTTGTATATTCTCGACTTGATACTGTCAAGAAATAATTTGACTATTGGAGAGAGGGATTCCTCTTTTATTACTCTTATTACAGCTCATACCAGTTTCCCTTTTATATTTACAGTTCTATTAATTATTTGCAGAGAGGTCCATGCTCAGAAGATCATCACGGTTACGACAGGCATATCCAAAACTTTTGACCTTACAGCTTGGAAGGTAAAATTATATGGTTCTTTCTTTCATTGCTAGAGTGCTGTACTTTAGTGTAAAATATTTGAAGGAGGTAGGTGCTTTGTGTGGGTTAGTGAGTGAGTGTCATTTTTATATGCTTCATTTTGCTCTGCTTAAATAATGAGTTACAAACAGTACTTGAAAAAATAATGGTGTCATGTTTTGAATGACTTTTATATTTACAATATTATGTTGGAGTGTAAGCAAGGTAACATTTATGCAGGGATTCAGGGAAACTAGTTACCTGAGCTTGAATTCTGGAAGTGGGAAGCACAGTGCCTACACTGAAGAGGGGTGGGGGTGGGGATATTGCAGTTTGAGCTGCAGTGTTGGCATGCCTCTGGCAAGACAGTGATGGAGTGAGTGATAGTGAAAAATGTTTCTTCTTTTTTGAGTCACCCTATCTCAGTGGGAGATGACTGATGTGTTAAGAAAAAGTATTATAAACTCTTATACATAATTATTTATTAAGGAATAATTTTGAATGTTAAGGAATCTTCATTAAATAATTGCTGGAAATTTACAAGGAGCATCACCAAGAATTTTGAATGAAAAATTCCATAACTTTTTAAGAATATTTTTATGGATGTGGTTCAGGGTGAAATATAGTGGTAAGGAAGGTACTGTAAAATGAAATGCCGGCATATCTCTAAAACACACACAAAAATATACAGTGTGCTTTTTGTTTTTGTGTTTGATGTTAAGTGATGTGTGGCTGTGAAAGTGGACAGGAAGGTAACATGTAAGAGGTACTTAAGCTACAGTACCTGCATTACTGTTAACCATCATATTCAGTACTTTACATTTTAATATTTCATAGTGCTGCTGTGGCCTTTTGAACCCCATGACACTTTCTTATATAATCCATGTTGTATGGGGCAGCACGCCACTAGCAGCAACAGCCTGATTGATCAGGAAAACACCAGACAAGCCTGGCCCAGAACTGGGCTGCAGGAGCCGTAAAAATCTAAAAACCTATCAAAGGTATATAGTGTTCAAAATGATGTATAATTATATCAAGCTTTAATGACTGGAAATTAGCTAAAGATCTTGTCCATTTGTCATTTACTATATTCATGGTATTGTACAATATATTTTGGTAAAGTAATGTATATGAATATTACTGTAATTAAAATCTAATTATGAAAGAACAAAGTCACAGTGGGAGAAATTCACATATACACACTTTTGAGAGAGTTGACTTGATAATTTTGTAGGACTGTCTGAAATGTCTATGGTTTCCTCTCAGATGTGTTACTTGTGGAGCTAACTACAATATTACAAATATTGTAGCACTGTATGTTTAGCCTTTCATTGTGCTGAATATGTTGATTTTTATTTCAGCTTTGAGAGTCCAGTGAGGAAAGATAATTCTGAGTCCTCAAACCTGGATTGCAGCAACTTTTCATCACTTGGGAGTTTGGAAACTAAGAAATGTAAAAATATTGGTACTTGCCCAAGCATTATAAATAACGATATACAAGTTACTAAACAAAGTGCATTAGCAGATAAGAGAAGAGGAAAACCTGTGACAGTGGATGATACAAAAAATGTTGGAAGTGAATGTGATAGTGGTGAAGCAATAATATTGCCTGTGGAAGAAGTTGAAGTTATTGAAACTTTACCTCAAGTAGAAAATCTAGGTGACCTAGAAACTCAAGATCCATTGGCTGATGTTATAGCAAACAGTGAGGAAGTTTTGGAAGTGAACCCTGAGCCTGAAGTATGGAGAACTAATAATTTGTTGTGGGAAAGTGTCAAGGCTGTACATAAAGCTCAAAGCAGCAGCACTTTGACTTGTAATAAAAAGCAGTTGATTGAAGAAAGAGAAGTAGACAGAGAAGGTGTATTGGCCGGAAAATTAAATAAAAAACGAATTCAGTCAGAACAAGAAGCTGACATAAATTTGAGGAGTGCCTCAATAATCACGGAGCGTAATTTATTAAACCAAAATTTTAGCAACAGTGCAGTAAAACCAACACTAAGTTTTATTGCCGATGACATTTTAAGTAAGAATAGGGAAATGCAGAAGGATGCATTGCCACTTCATACAGAAATATTTGAACCACCTCTGAATTTGAGAACAAACAATGAGGAAAATTTTATCTTAAAGCCTTCAGAAGTGGACACACAACAAGAAGGTAATCAAAGTTCTCAGGAAGTGATCCTCACTATGCACAATTCAGATGATGATGATGATGATGATTGTACTGATTCTAATACTCGCAAGTCAGACTCATTAGAAATTAAAACTGTAGAACAGAACATTCAACAGGTTGATAATGTAAAATTTTTTTCTCCCTGTATCAAAGATTCCATAGAATCAGGAGTTTCGGAGAGAGAGAGTAGCACTTGTGATTCATCCAATGTTGACTTTGATGTCTTGGAAAGAGATCTTTTGGTAATTATGATCAGGAAAGGCAAAACACTGAAGAGAGTCCATCAGGTAACCTGGAATATAATCATAATTCATTTTGTGATCAAGGAGAGTATTAATTCCAACTACACTTGCTGACAGTAGCATAACACTAAATAAGAAATCTAGTGGCAATAATGAAACTTGTGGTGGTGATAAGTCAACATCATATACTGAGCAAATATCAATTAATAGACAGAAAAGGATTGAAACTGGTGTGCCTGAAATAGAGAAAACAGTTTCTGTGTTAACTGGAAACTCTGAAGAAGAGCCAAGAACAAATTTAAATAATAGTACAAGCAGCGACACCCAAGGTTCAAATGACAGTAATAATATTACTGTGTCAGTCAAGAAGTTAAAAACTCTAGTCATAAGTCAAGATGAAGATTCATTAATATTAAATAAAGATTCAGATACATCACACAAAGACAGTTCACAAATAATAACTGAAGATACAAGTACAAAAAAAAGTGTATCAACCAATGAGAATATAAAAATAAATAAAGGCATATTAGATAATGAGAATTTAAAAACAATAAATAATGGTGTATCAAACAGTGAAAATTTAATAATAAATAAAGATTCAGATATGTCAGAGAAGGACAGTTCACAAATTTCAGATGATTCTCAAGTGAAAAACAGAGAATCAAAGGTGCTAAATATAGATAAATTTAAAGTATCAAGTCAGGATGGTACGAAGTTGGACACTCACGATCCACCAGTGTTGACTACAGTTGAACTACCAGTGTTGATTACAGTTGAACCACCTGTGTTGACTACAGCTGAATCACCTGCATCAGATAAAGATGAACCATCTGTGTCAGCTACATATTCAGCAGTTTTGGCAACAGGTGAACCATCGGTGTTGGATGCAAATGAACTGCCTGTGTCTGATACAGATGACCCACCTATGTTTGATAAAGATGAACCACCTCTGTCAGCTACAAATGAATCATCTCTGTCTGCTACAGATGAACCACCCATGTCAGCTATGGATGAACCTCCTGTGTCAGCTACAAATGAACCACCTGTGTCAGCTATGGTTTAAACCCACCTGTGTCAGCTACAGTTGAACCACCTGTTCAGCACAGAGGAACCCCCTTTTGTCGTACAGATAAACCCCAAACCTGTGTCAGCTACAGATAAACCCAACTGTGTCATTACAGAGGAACCCCTGTGTCAGATACAAACCCTCCCAGTGTCAACAAAAAAATAAAAATTTTTCTTCCGGCCCAACAAAAAAATTACCCACCAGTGTCCGACTAAAGGACCACCAGTGTTGACTAAGATACCATTTGTGTCAACAAAAGACCACCATGTTGACTGAAGGCCCCCTTTTGTGTCAATAAAGACCCAGCAGTTAAACAAAAGCCCCCACCCGTGTAAACAAAGCCCAAAATTTCCCAACTAAAGCCCCAAACCCGTAAAAAACTAAAACCCAGCGTGTCAACTAAAGACCCACCCGTGTCAACTAAAGCCCCCAAAAGTTTTAAACAAAGTTCCAGCAGTGTCAACAAAAAGCCCCGCGTTCAACTAAAAAACCCAGCAGTGTAAAACAAAGATCCAGCAGTTTTAAACAAAAATTTAAAAGCGTGTCACTAAAGATCCAGCATGCTGACTAAAGATCCAGCATGTCAACTAAAGATCCAGCAGTGTAAACCCTAAAGACCCAGCAGTGCCGTTTAAAGGTCCGCAGTGTAAAAAAAAGACCCAAGCAGGTCAACTAAAGATCCCAGTGTAAACTAAAGATCCAGCAGTGTCAACAAAAAAATCCAGAGTTTTCAACTAAAGATCCAGCAGTGTAAACAAAAGTTCCACAGTGTCAACTAAAGATCCAGCTGGCCGACAAAAGATCCCCCCATGCCGCCAAAAGACCAGCAGTGTCGACTAAAATCCAGCAGTGTCGACTAGAGACCCCGCAGTTCAAACTAAAGACCAGCAGTGTCAACTAAGACCCAGCAGTGTAAAACTAAAGACCACCCGTGTAAACTAAAGATCCAGGGTGTAACTAAAGACCCAGCAGTGTAAACTAAGATCCAGCAGGGTCAACTAAAAAAAAACCAAAAAAAAAAAAAGTGCCCAACTAAAGATCCAGCAGTGGTAAACTAAAGACCACAGTGTCGAAAAAAGATCCAGCGTGTCAACTAAAGACCCCGCAGTGCCCAACTAAAGGCCCCAGCAATTTGTAAATAAAACCCAGCAATGCCCGCAAAAGACCCAAAAGTGAAAAAAATGATCCACAGCGTAACTAAAGACCCCAGCAGCTTCAAACAAAGGGGATCCAGCTGGTAAAATAAAGATCCGCAGTGTAAATTAAAGATCCACCATATTGGTTTAAAGATCCACCAGTATCGACAAAAAGTTTTCACCAGTTCGACTAAAAATCCCCCATTGTCAAGTAAAGCGACCCACCATTTGGGACTGAAAAACAATCCCCCGTTTTTGACTAAAGATGATTTTACTAGTTTTTGAAAAAGTCCACCAATGTCTGTAAAGACCCACCAATGTCTACTAAGATCCATTATGTTAAAAAAATTTGATTTATCATGTCAACTAAAAAATTTTCCCATCGGAGTCAACTATAGATATTCCATTGACGTAAACTAAAGTTGTTCCTTTCCCGGTCACTAAAGGGTTTTTAAAGGGTGTCAACTAAAATTTTCCTTTGGATTTAAACTAAAGATTTTCGTCAGCGTAAACTAAAGATGTTTCGTCAGGGGAACAAAAGATGTTTCGTTGGGTCAACTAAAAAAGGTTTCGTTGGCGTCAACTAAAGTTTTTTCATTGGGGGCCCCAAAAGGTATTTCTTTGGGCGTAAACCCAAAAAGTTTTTTTCATGGGCATCACTAAAGATGTTCCATCGGCATCAACAAAGATGTTTCAGCGCATCAACTAAAAAATGTTCCATCGGCGTAGCTAAGATGTTTCAGCAGCATAAAACTAAAGATATTTCATCGCTAAACTAAAAAATTTTCCCATGGGTTCAAAAGATTTTCAGCACTTCAAAAAAAGATATTTCTCAGCATCAACAAAAGATTTTCCCAAGGCATCAATTTAAAGATATTTCATCAGCATAAACTAAAGATTTTTCCCATCACCTAAAGCTAGAAGTTTTCCCATCGGGTCAGCTAGAATTTTTCCATCTTGTAAGCTAGAAAGGTTCCACGGTGCCCAGTTAGAAATTTTCCCTTTCGTGTCAGCTAAAAATTTTTCCATCGGTGTCGCTAAAATTTTTCCAAACATGTAAATAAAAGTGTTCCATCAGTTTTTCACCCTGGGAATGTTCTCCCCAGTGTCAAAAAAATTGGGACCCACCACTCTCTGACACAGCTGGTCTTTTCAGTTTTAAAAAGGGAATAAACAGTATTAGTTACGATGTTTCCAAATATAAAAGTGTGACCCAAGTTTTTGGAAAAATTTATAATGCATTAGTGTTAAAATGACACAGTAGGGCCCAGATGAGGACTTTTTAGGGGAGCTCGGATAGCCCCGTCTTTGTCATTTTAATAATGTTTCATCACCCATCAGATATGACCAAACAGCCCAAGTATTGGGCCCCGGGGGCCCTTTAAAAGTGTCTGAGAGTAAAGTTTCAACAACTTTTTTAACCAAGATGATTTAAAAGTGTCAGAACAAGATAATCTAAAAAGTTCGACCGGGAAGTTTTAAAAAGGTCCCCTAACAAAAAAATGGTTTTTCATGCTAAACCGGTAGTCTAAATGGGGGGGGGGGGGGTAACGCCGGGGAGGTTTTCCCAAGTGCAAAGATATAAAATGTTAGCCCAATGTGATTTTCATTTGGGTCAAAACGAAACTAAAAGTTTTGGCCGAGGGTTTTTCAAATTAAAGAAGTTTTAAAAAAATGTTGACCCTAGATTTTTTGGCAGGTTTTGGAGCAAGAAATTCCCAACAAGGGGTTAACCAAAAAATTGCACAATTTGTTAAACCCAAGAAGATTAAAAGTTCTGGACCAAATGGTTTACATTTTAAAAGCAAAAATTTTTTAAATGTGTTGGACCAAGATTGTTTACAAATGTCTAACCAAGAGGGGTTTCCCAAAAGTGGTCTGAAATGATGTTTTAAAAAAAGTGTTAAACCCCAAGGGAGGGGTTTAAAACAAGAAACAGAGCAAGAGGGTTTTTGCAGATGCCCCCCCCAACCCAAAGAAAATTTTTACAAGGGGTTTGGCCCCAAGCAGGGTTTAATGTTTTCAGTAAACTCCAATCAAAAAGAAGAGTCTGTGATATAGCCCCAACATCTTTCTTGAGCAATGAAAATTTTACATGGGTCTAAATCCCAGGGCCCCCCTTTTTTGTTAAAAAAAGAGAATGTGCAGTACTTGGGAAATGATAAGACCACTTTATTATTTAAAATAATGATAATGACAAAATTTAAGTATTTAAATTAATGCCCGGGTTTTGGCTTAGTAATGAAAATGCCCAAAATTTAAATTTAAAGGCCCATTGACACACATCAGTGCTTGTGTTCAAGTTTTAAACCCAAAGGGAAGTTTTCAAATAAAACCAAAGATAATGGTAAAAGAACCCCCCAAATGATAAGTGAGTTATGAAAGCAATGAGCCCAAGAGTCACTTGGGTGAGCCCGGGAGTTCACAGTGATTTCCAAAAAATTTCCCAGTGTTTGATGTCCAGGATTTGCTATGTGATTTTTTCAAGAGTTACCCACCTGTTTGGGAAAGTTCCTCAGTAGGGATGTTCAGGATTTAAACCTAGCGAGATGTCCGGAGTTCCCCAACAAATATTTTCCGGAGTTACTCAGTGATGAGTTCAGGAGTTTACCCACATTGATGTCCAGATTTTACCCAACGATGATTCCAAGAGTTACCCAGGGATCAGGGCCCGGATTATCAGTGATGATTTTTCAGGAGTTACCCCGATGAGTCCGGGAGTTACTCAGGGGAAGATGTTCGGGAAGTTCCCCAACATTCTTTCCAGGGGTTCCCCAACATTCATGTCCGGGGTTCCCCAACGATGATGTCCAAGATTTTACCCGGGGGATCATGTCCAGGGTTATAAAGCGATGTGTTGGGAGTTAACCGATAAAGCCCGGGGAGTTACCCGGGTATGCCCGGGAAGTTACCCAGGGGAAAACCCCGGGGTTTTTCCCAGCGATGATGCCCGAGATTTCCCCAGCGATATTTTGAGATTCCCCAGTAATTTTTCCAAAATTTACCCAGCGATGATGTCCGAGTTTTTAAATCAGCGGGATGCCCAGATTTTAGCCAGTGATGTTGGCCAAGGGGTTAGCCAGCGATGATGTCCGAGATTTACAGGGGAATGATGCCCGAGAGTTATCCACTGAGGGATGTCCCGGGGTTTTTAACCCGCGATGAGTCCGAGAGTTTACCCGGATGATTTTCCCGAGGTTATCCACCCAAATGATGCCCGGGAGATTTAAATCCAGCGAGGGATGTCCAGGGGTTACCCAGCGATGATGTCCGAGAGTTATCCAGCGTTTCCCCAAAGGGGTTTCCCAGTGTCAGGGTCAGGATCACCCCACCCAGGATGCAGAGAGTTCCCCAACGATGATGTCAAAGATTATCCAGTGATAAATTAAAAGAGTTACCCAAAGTGATGTCGGGGGTCACCTGGGGGGTGGTGCCCAAATGATCCCACGGCAAATGTCCAGATGTCCCCCCAGGATGTCAAAGTGTATAAAAAATGAAAGGGTGTCACCCAAGGTACCACCCAAGAATGGTGTACCCTTTTAAAATAATGAAAAATTTGTCCCCCAAACCCCAAATTTCCTGGTCCCTTAGTTTCATCAGGGGATGATGATCAGATGTCACTAAAGGAAAACAGAAAATCAAGGGGTAGCGGGGGTTTAAATGAAGGGGACAAAATGTCAACCAAGGAAATGGAGGGATCAAGTGTAAACCCAAAGGTAACATTTATTGATCTTATGTCACCCAAAAGGCGCACTGATCTAGTTCGCCAAGTAAACGGATTTTTGGGTTCAGTAAGTCAAGGGATGATCAATGTCAGCAAAGATAGGGGATGGTAAATGTCACCAAGAAAAAAAA